GATCCTGTTCTTCTGGGATTTTATTTCCATCAATTTGTGGCTCCCAAGAAAACAGGAGATTGGCATCCAATCATCAATCTGTCTTGACTCAATCAATTTTTGGATCCTCCTCTATTTACAATGGAATCTTTTCTCAATCTACGATAGCATTTTTCACTTGGTCATTCAATGACCAAGTGTGATATTACTGATGCATATCTTGACATTCCCATAGCAGAGTCGTCCCAATGATTTGTGCACAAGGGTCAAGTGCTACAGTTCAGGGTTCTACCTTTTGGCCTTATCTCAGCACCTTATGTCTTCTGCAGAGAGGTAAGAGCTTTTTCTCACCACCTGCATTCCTTGGGCCTGTGCATACATCATTATGTGGATGACTGGCTACTTTTGGCACCATCTCATCAATTGGTAGAACAACATACCCAGATTCTCTTTTCAGAAGCCACAAAGGCAAGCTTCCTTATTAAAATAGAGAAATTCATTCTATCACCAATTAAATACCTTGTCCATCTGGGTGTCTTTTTCAACATGTAAATAAGTTGGGCTCAGTCTACTCCCATTAGACTACAAACTATGGAAAGAGCAGTCAGACTTTTACTTACGTCTCCTTCTCCTACTGTGCAGATGGTTCTCTCTCTTTTGGGGATGTGGGCATCCCTTGAATCTCTCATTCCCTTGGGATGGGCCCATACGAGTCCCCTTCAGTGGTCACTGTATGACCAATGAATCATGAACTCTGATCCATTAGATCATCCATTCTCCTTACTCAAGAGCAACATCGCACATCTCGAGTGATGGTTGGATCGGAACAACACTACTATCAGGATACCTATACCACTTCCTCGTCCCAAGATCCATTTGTTTACAGATGCATCTCTTCAAGGGTTGGGTGCATATATCCAAGCTCAGGAGTTCCAGGGTACTTGGACAGACTACGAGTCTACTCTTCACATCAACATTCTTGAACTCCTTGCTGTACACAGAGCAACGTTTCAAGGTCTGTGTCTCTTGAAGTGGAAAATCATCGTGATCCATTCCAACAATTCCATGTTGGTATCCTATATTTCTCGTTAAAGGGGCACACATTCTAGAGATCTTTGTTTTCAGACTTTGGATCTTCTCTACTAGGCTAACTCCCATTTTATAAGCCTCTTAGCATGCCATGTTCTCAGAGTGATGAAGTTAATTGCAGATCATTTGTCTTGGCCCAACCGGATTCTGTCGACCGAATGGTTGCTACATCACGTGGTTTTTCAGTGGATTTTTCTTGGTTCAGTTCTCTGATGATCAATGCTTTTGCAACTCATTGGAATTCTCATTTGCAGTCGTTTTGGTCCCCAGTACCTCATTCTCGAGCTTTAGCAATAGATGCATTCAGTCAGGACTGGATCGGTTTGCATCATCATGCCTTTTCCCCAATTTGTCTGTTGCTCAGAGTTCTAGTTATGGTTTTTCCATTCCTTGTCAGGTTCTTTTGTAAGCTTTGTTTTGTCCAGCTCAAATATGGTTTCCTCTTCTTCACTATCTGCAAGAGTGTCTCCCTCTGCCCTTCCTCTTTGACCAACTCTATCTTGATCTGACATTCTACACCCAGATGTTCAGAAACCCGAACTTCATACCTAGAGGTTATGCGGTCCTTTGCCCGATATAGAGGTTTAACTTCTAAAGTTACTTTGTACTTAACTAAATCTCTCCATAGACCAACTATGGCCATTTACCAATGAAAATGGCACACTTATTGTTAGTGTTGTAGCAAAAGGAAATTCAACCCACTTCATCCAGAGGTGTCTCCCATATCAAGTTTTTTTACTTGGATTTTTGAATGAGGTTTGGCTTCATCTACCATGGCCTTATATAAAGCATCATTATCAATTACTTTTTGATATTCCAAATATAGGAAGGTGTTTGATTCTCCAGTGATATCTAACCTATTAAAATCTTTTCAGGTCCTTCAGTCCAAATGACCTTTTCAATTGCCTAATTGGAATTTTAATGTTATTTTACATGCATTGTTTCATCATCCCTTCAAGCCATTAGCCTCCTGTACTTTGTAACACTTTTCGCTTTAAGGTATATTTTTTGTTGTTGTTGGCATGTGGACATTGTAGACTTGAATTGTTTGCAATACATGTGCATAGGACTGTTTTTACCATTCCATCTATGTCTTGCTTTACCCAGATAAGTCCTTTCTTCCAAAAACTTTGCCAGCCAGAGAGGGGGATAAATCCTTCTCACCAATTCACTTACCAACAATTTCTCACCTTTACGACCACTCATCCACCAATCATTTGTTATGTTCTGTCACAGCCCTCAGGTATTATGTGGCTCGTACTACCTCATTTAGCGGTACAAGGAATAGACTATTTATTCATTGGGATTCTTCTGTTTTCCGCGGTTTATCCCCCATTACCTTAACGAGGTGACTTCAAAAATTGATTCATATTGCCTACTCTGGTCTATCTTTACAGGAGAGGAATCTGCTGCAAGTCACATTTCACCCGATTCATCATATTTCTATGTCATTGGCTGCCCATTTGAATTGCTCTCTGGAAGACATTGTGCGGGCTGGTATGTGGACTTCTCCCAATATTTACCTCTCTCAGTACTCTCTCTCTGGCAGTTTCCTCTTCTTGGTTCACCTGTTGCACTGTTGGCTTTCCAATGCACATCTCTCCTCCCCCTCCCCCACAGGTTATACTAGTGGAGCGAAGGGGTCCTTACCACACCCAGTTTACAGTAACTGGGGTGGTGGACAGAGGTTTTTCCTCAAGAGTGTTAGAGCATGTACATTCCCTTTTTTTAGAAAAGGGTGAGGTTGGGGGCCCTCCTACCCGGGTCCCTGAATGTATTCTCAGTTGTCGGTAGGAGCAGCACCACCCTCCGCAAGAGCCTATTCACAATAATGGTTCAGTTAAGATTTGATCCTATCTGCTTAAGGTGTGCATGGCCCTTCTTATAAACAACGTTGGGTTGTATATTGTTCATGGATGGAGGTCCACTATCACCTCTTAATACCTAATGTGAAGGTCCTAGGTCCTTGGTTGAACACAATTTTCCATGTCCTCTCATAATTCTGGGGGCAAGTGGAATGCTCCTTGCTCATGCAGTTAGAGAGTGAGGATGAATGTTCATAATTCCAGACCAGAGGGGTTCTGTTCCTTTGGTTGAATAAGGCATACATGATCCCGTCATTCAGAGCCTGGAATGTTGCCTTTTGAACTTCTTCAGGTGGAAAAGAAAGTTTGTCCACTTCAGTGTTGCTATCTCCTTTCTTTTTGTAATTCCTTTGGTTTGGAATGCATTGCTCTATGGCGACAGGTTAGGATCCAATCAAAAGTATATCTATATATCACACTGTAGTCCAATTGCCCAATCCTCCAATGGGGGATATAGGAACCAAGACCCCTTAATTCCAACACTGAGTCATGGAACCTCAGCTATCTTGTTTGGGGCTGGTCTATAATTGATAGGTACTATTCCACCCTTGATACCAATATCAAGTTTTGGGTGAAGAGCATACCTGTTCTGGATATAGTGCAGTTTCCCCACTTGGGTACCACTGTTATCTTGATACACCCCAGTTCTATGCAGACACTTTCTGTTTGGATAACGCCTTCACTGACTCTTCCTCCTTCTCAATGAGGGATTCTAGCTAAAGTGGCAGTGGATAGTAAGTATGTTTTGGAAGTTAACATTTTCCTAAATTGAAAATGTATTTCCAATAATACTTACTTCTGCTGACACTCTTTCTCCTCATTAAGAGCCAATGTTAGTATTGAATAGCTTAAGTCTAAAAAAAAAAAGTGATTATATTATCTGAATGAGGTGCTTATGTACAGTACCTGGATAGAGGGTGCATTGATGGTGGTGGAGAGTTTTCCAAATTCCAAGGGCATTCAAGTGGAGTATAAAAGACTGGAGCAAGCGAGTTCAATGCTTAGATGGGCAAAGAGGTAGAAACCCTGGAGATTGAGAAATAGCTAAAGTGTCAGTGGAGGTAAGTATTATTGGAAATACATTTTCAATCCAGGAAAATGTTAACTTTTGTACTCTTCATTTAAAATATAAAATTCAGTTCAAGACAAGACTTCACGAGTGGTTGTTTCAGAGATATCATGTATGGGAGGTCAAAAGAGTTAGTTCTGAAATGAATATACTACAAAATTATCCTCAATTGATAGGTATAAAGTAGGAAACAACTGTGTTTGAAATATATACCCATATTTGATTCAATAGGGCTTAATCAATTTTAACATTAGCACTCTCATGAAGAGATATTTCTCAAAAAGTAACCTGTATTTCATTCAGTCAATCAGCCTGTAATTTGTCAAATTTAGTGATTCATTTAAAGGCTGGCAGCAGTAGACACTGCTGAAAGACTTGCACATAAATAAATTAACTTGTTTTTTATTGAAAAGAAGTTATTCAGTAGAAGCAAATTGATTTTGACCAAGAATATTATTAGCAAAATGTTATTCCTGTTGCCATTTTGATAAGTTAGGTCATAAGTCACAAATGTATCTTTTGCAGTGTTTTTACGATTTATGGACACATGTGGTTACTACTTCAATTGGTAAAATAAAGTGTCAAAAGAAATATGTTAATGAAAATACTTCAAATTTAAGTTCACTGGATAAATAAAATTTAATTTTTTCTGATCAACAATACAAAAAAAAAATTTAATTCGGAGGTCAAAAAAGTATTTTTTATTTTTTCAAAACAATTTCACAACTAAAGTTTGGAAGTTTCAAACCTGAAAATGATACAAAAATTAATAAATTTATGTGAATTTTTTAAAACTGAAAGTAGATACTATATAGTAAGTTATTTTCTCAGTTTCATGCAATTTTGTGATGTATTTCCACTGTGAGAAGGAAAATATCAAGGGATATCAGTGATACCTCTCCAATCCAGAAAGAGTTAATGCATACATGTTATGTTAGATTTTTTGTGTTAAGCAGTTTTTAATTTTTCTGACTTCTTTTGCTATGTTTGTTCCTTAGAAACTGTTTCCCTGTGGTCAGCATCTTAACCCAGTGAGAGAAAAAATAAATCAGATCAATAATTTGCTAGAAGCACAGGTGAAGTCTTTATCAAATATTCAAGTGGTTAACCTTGACCCAGGATTTGTTCAGACAGATGGTACAATTAATCACCATGATTTGTATGACTATCAGCACTTGACACGTACAGCATATATGCAGGCCTTTCGTCCTTTGTCAGATTTAATACAGCAGCTGATCAGAGAAATAACACTAGCTGTAGTTGAAACTCCAACATTGCCAGATGAATAATAATTATGGTGAAACACTTAAATCATTTGCTTAACAAGATAACATTATCTTGTTATCAGACATTATGATGCTTTTGATTAACTAAGAATCAATATTGAATGTGTCATTTTGTTATAGTTTTTTTAATGAGAAGAAGCTCTATTGTAAGTTGTATTGTAATTGTATAATATGAAAGCTGATACTTTTGCAGTGCACATTTAGTCATTGTGAGTGACCTGAAGCAACAGGCCCAAAACTTGTTCACTTAAGGGATCAAAAATATAACTCTTGAAAAGCAACCCATCTGATTAATGCTTCTATTTTTGCATTATATTCCCACGGTGTTGTTGTTGTTTAAAAGCAATCATGTGATTGTGTATGTTTTTTATATTAACTCCATTGGTCATTTCAGCATTTGTTTTGCTGTTAAATACATCAAATAATAAGTAAACTTTTGTTCTACAATCATATAAAGGTAAATCTTATTACAAAAATATTAAATTTTTTAATCATGTGACAAGTACTTTTAAAATATCACAAGCATTTTGAATATTGTTCCACACACACATATTTTTGATTCAACAAAAATTCATAGTAATAAATAATCAAATGCTGAGAAATTATAAGTACTGAGACTCAGCATCTCATTATGCACTGTTTGAGAGATAGAAAATTAAAAACTTCTCAACTCTTTTCTTTTCTTATTACAAACATAACCATGAAAAATCTAGATTATAACATATATATATGTTTGAGATTGAAGAGTTAAATAGTTAAGATTAGAAATATATAAAACATGCATACAAGTAAATATTCTAGTTTTCAAAATTTGTAGCAGGTAAAAGAGAAAGAAAAAAAGTCCCAACAGAATTTGAGGAGATTCTTGTGTTCTTGACTTGCTTGTTATTATTAAATGCATTAGAAACTAAAGATTTCTCAATTATATTAAGATGTGCTTGGTTAACTGGACTTCATGTTGAAAAAATACTGTGCTGGAGATACTGAAAGAGTGTGAACAAATTAGTTATGATTATGAATTTTTGCTTTAATATAGTTATAGAATAAGAGGTAAGCTCCATTTGCAAGATGTATATTATACTTTTTGAGTTTTCAATTACAAAAATAATAGAAAATAGTATACTGTCTACAGTACTTATCAATTTTAGTGAGACTTGTAGCTTGAGAAAATAATATAGACACTATTTCCAGCCTAGTTTGTTACCTTTTTTAGGGTCTGTAGTTGTAGGCTTGAAAACATAATCTTTGCATTTTGATTTGTGTTTCTGTGCCCCCCAGTGGCACAGCGATATGTCTGCGGACTTACAACACTAGAATTCAGGTTTTGATACCCGTGGTGGGCAGAGCACAGATAGCCCATTGTGTAGCTTTGTGCTTAATTACAAACAAACATGTTTCTGTACTTTTTCAACAATCCCTAATTCCCCCTTTTAAATTAAGAATTTTTAATTATCTTCTTACTTAAATTTTTTATATCCATTTATGGAGAATACATTGTAAGCTTCATACATGCATATGCATTCAGTTGAATGTTACATGTTTTTCAACAATTTGTTGCTGCATTGGCTTTTTGTCCACCCAACCATTATTTGCTGAGCCAAATGGTTTTGTGCCCGAGGTTTCCTGTAAACATGCATTTAACAAGCACTGAGTACACAGGAAGCTGCTAACAACAATATCACATACATTATGTACTTATAGCAACATAAAACCAACTTTCAATGAAAAATAATGAACTTTTTAAATACGTCATATACATTCACAGAATTTCATGTAGTATATCTGTCTAAGTTTTGGTGCAAAATACCCAGCCCATTTTGCTGTAGGCTTGTGAAACAAAAATGTGAATAATAGCAATAAAATAATACTGAAATAAGCACTCACAATTTCAGAGAAGTACAAAAATTAATAGAATATATCACCATTTATAAGAGTAGAGAAATTTACTATAGTAATTGTCTACTGTTAGAAAACTTGAAATAGACACAGAAAACCACATAGAGACAAAGTACAACAGTGAATTCAGGAAATGATGAATCCTCAATGTGACAGTTTCCAGTTAATATGCTTTAGTAAAACATCAGATTTTTTCTATGGCAGAAAGTGAAGGTCTTAGAGACATTCTTCAGAGCAAAAAAACGAAGGCGCTTGAATTAATTTAACCCTACCCTATAACATAATACTGCATTCACTACTATTGTCCACGTTTCAGTAAAATATTCATAGCTATTTTTTCTGTAGTGGTTTGTAAAACTATAATCAATAATAATAAGGCTGAAAACTTATAAAAAAATACACATTGTTTACCCCAATAAGCGAAGTGTATCTGACTAGTATAACAGTGCTTAAATGGCTTCTACATTTCTGTGATGCTTGAATGGTTTCGAAAAGCTTATGTAGGTAGCAAAGAAGAACTTGGAAAATTTTAGAGGGTAGAAATCTTGACTTTCAAGACTCAAAAATAGCCCTACAACCTTTGCTGGAGTTTGTTTAGTAACTGTGCATAGATTTTGGCATCTAGCTGTTTTTGTTGTAGGCTTTGGTGCTTGAATATCTTCGAAGAAAAACATGGCCAGTAGCAATGAAAAAGCTGATAAAATCACTCCTTCTCTTTTAAGAACCAACACAAAATAATCCTATGTCCTGTACAGGAGTTTTTTTAGTAGGTTTGCCCAGGTTGGAATAAAATATGAACAGCCATTTTTCTGTAGGCTCGTAAAACAAGAATAATATGAAGAACAGACAAATTTTGTTTAACAATCAAAAAATCAACTTTTTTGCTATTATTAATATTTGAGCAGCTTTAGCCACAGAATTAGAAGATCTTGAGTGTTGTTTCAAGAACAAGTCTGCTTCTAAAGATGGTTTTTGTGCATCTTAATTTTATCCCACCCTGACTATCCACAATAGTTGTAGTCTCTAATACTAGCTTATTTCATGTAACTAAAAATATATGACTGTAAAGGATGGAAAAGAAATTAGAAATGATAAAGTATATATCAACAAGTTTCATATTTTGTGTATCATGAAGAATTACTTGTGCACAGCTATTTATATTTACCTAAAAATAAAGACTTTATGACAATGAGGTTTTTGTTATTTATGCAGAATTTGTTGCTAAACTGTTCAGTGTTAAATTGCTGTATCAAATTATTATTTTTTTACAATTTAATTTTAAAGAATACAAAATTGACCCATGCTGCACAACCATTTATTTCACAAAATACAATATAACAATAATTTTCCTGACAATTCTTTTGTAAAAATAATTTCAGAAATACATTTTAGAGCATAAAAATTTAGGAAAATCTTTCACATTATTTTTTTATTAAAATCTGAACACAAAGCTATTTTGCATACCACAACTATAGTTACAGGTGTTATGTCACATAATCAATTTAATATAAGATGAACTTTTTTCTGTGAACGAAATTAACAATGATAATGGAGGTGAAAATATTTAGAGTATATTACCACATAGGTTCTGACAGCCCATTAATTATTGAATAGCTTACAATAGGAGATTATAATGATTAGCTTTTTCCTTATTTTAGATTATTGAAAATTAATACAAGTTAAAAAATACTTTGTTTCACATTATTTCATCTTATCCATCAAAAACTAATCTGAACTCAACGTAGTTCTAATTAAATTGCAAAAATCTTGCTGTTCTTAACTTGTTAGAAATCACAAATGCAAGCATGCATACAAGTACAGTATTTCTGATATATGGTGTGGGCACAGTTTTATCCACATGATATCATATTACACAACACTGATCATATATGGGACGTGCCAATAATTCAGTCACCTGCAAAGAACAATGTATAATAAATAAAGTGGAATACTATGGAAATTTATATAAGGTTGTTTTGTATGAAACATAATTGAAATACTATTGATATTATAAGCCTATATTATTAATTCATTTTCTGGGATAATTTAAGCAATCTATCATCAAACAAAAATAATTACCTTCTACCAACAGGTTCTTCATGTTATAACCTTGTAATGCTATGCAAATTGAGGTAATATTAGTACTATTAAAGTGGAAAAAAAAATATTTAAAGTACCAAACTTACTATTTCAAACAAATGAATTTTTAGATTTGTTACTTAAAATTCTACAAACTACTGTGAAGAGTCATAAATACAAAATATTAAGTACTTAATGTTAGGAAACTGTGCTTGAAATAAATCTTGAGTCAAAAAAATATTAATAAGGTGATAGTTCAACAGTTGTTATATTGCACAGACTGACCATTTTGTAAGGACTACTAAATTTTAGGCTTAGGAGATCTTTTCAAGATATGTCTGACTGACTACAGAATTATCTCTTGACTCTACTTTTGCAGATGCTACAAAATAAACATTACGTAAACATCACCAGTGTTTGGTAAGTTAACATTTTCCTAAATTGAAAATTATTTCCAATAATACTTACCTCCTCTCACACTTGTAACTATTACTCGACCTCTAGAACTTCTTCCTTTGGCCATCTAAGCATTGTTCTGATTTTTTCTTACTTGCTCCAGTCTTTTATACCCCACTCAATTGCCCTTGGCAAAATTTGTCTCATGACACTCTCCACCTATGTCAATGCGCCCTCTATCATGGCACTGTATATAAGCACCTCATTCAGATAATGTTATTACTTTTTCGAGACTGACTCAATCTCTAACACCAGCTTTTAGTGGGGAGGAAGGGCGGGACAGTGTGAAAAGGGGTAAGTATTACTGGAAATATATTTTTAATTTAGGAAAATGTTAACTTCCAAAACATACTTACCTCTGCTAAAATCCCACATTGATAAGGTGGAGGGGATGGTGAGGACATTATCAAGATAAAAAGTGTCTGCATAGATCATGGGTGTGCCAACAGGAAATTGGCACCCAAGTAGGGGAACCATACTACATCCAGAACAAGTATGCTCTTCACCCTAAACTTTGTTCCTGTATCATGGGTGGAATTGTACATAAGTGCTCATCACTATAGGCCAGCCCCAACCAGGTAGCCAAGGTTCCACTACTCAGGGTTGTAAGTAAGGGGTCTTGGTCCCTATATCCCAACCTGTAGCCATAAAGTGATACATTCCACACCATTTTAATCACGACGAGAAAGTTAGCAACACAGAAATGGACAAACCTTCTCCTCCACCTGAAGAAGCCCAACAGGCAACACCCTAGGCTCAGAATGACAGAATCATGTATGCCTTACTCAACCAAAGGAACAGAACCCCTCTGGTCTGGAATTATGAACATTCATCCTCACTCTCTAACTGCATGAGCAAGGAGCATTCCACTTGCCCCCAGAATTATGAGAGGACATGAAAAACTGTGTTCAACCAAGGACCTAGGACCTTCACATTAGGTATTAAGAGGTGATAGTGGGCCTCCATCCATGAACACTATACAACCCAACGTTGTTCATAAGAAGGGCCATGCACACCTTAAGCGGATAGCATAGGATCAAATCTTAACCGGTATTAAGAGTAGGTTGGCACTACTCCTACTGACATCTGGGAAAACATCTAGGGACCCAGGTAGGAGGGCCTGCAACTCTGCCCTATTCTCCAAGAGCAGAGGAATTTACTCTAACACTCTGGAGGAAAAGCCTCTGTCCACCACCCTAGCGATTGGAAACTGAGTGTGGTAAGGACTCCCTAGTTCCACTAGTAGAATTTGGGGGGGGGGGGGTGAAGAGATGCGAGTTGGGGAGCCCTGAGGAACAGTGCAATAGGTGAACCAAGTTCCCTCAATTTTTAAAAGCAAACCGACCTTGACATATTCAATCCAGTGATCGGGAGGTATAGGCAGGAACCCCCTTATGCTTTACTCGTTAGTGAATTACACAACAGTAATACTAGCTGGTCAGCTCCTAGATGGTCTTATGGAACACCTTATTTCTACAGAGCCTGTTGCAACCTGACAAAGTATATTCAATTAGTGGTTGCTAGTGAAGAATTGGTTTGATAAAAGCACACCTGTCTTGGCAACACTAGCCACAGCGTGGGATCCTGTGAAAACAAAATAAGGGACCCTGAAAGTTAGAAATAAAATACTCACCCCTCTGGATA